GGATAGTGGCTGTTTTAAGCACTGATGTTGATGCCAATAATGTCAGTGACTAATGATGCCGGTAGTGGTGATGAATTATAATATCAATAATATCTGTCAAAAGCAGTGTTGAATGAAATTTCCAGGTAGGTGGTGCAACGTTCACGGTTGCTGCCATAACCGACTTTGAACGATCCAAACGACGAATGCGATATTTTTGGGGTGATCCAATGGATTTCTTTAGTAATCCATCACAGCAACAACAGCATTTTGCAAACGAATGGTGGGTTGCATTGACCGATGGACAGAAGACATGCTTATCGATATTGGCTATTAATAGTGCGATATTTCTGTTGTGGAGAATTAAGTCACTCGAATTGTTCATGTGGAGATATTTTACAAATAGTTACGCATCAAGTTGGTTTCATCTGCTTCCTCATTTCATTCAATTCCTTTTCGTTTTATCCAGTTCGCTTCGCAGATTCGTTTCATCATGTTCCTTATCGTCATTGAAACCGGTGTATATATCGTTGATCAAAATCTTACGTAATGTTATATTTGGATGAAAAGTAATGTAGTTCATCATTGTATGTGGTCATTACGTTAAACAAATCAAGAGTATTCCTCCATCTCTTATGTCAGTTGTTCCATCTCATCAATGATAGCATGAGTATGTATAATGCNAAATCAAGAGTATTCCTCCATCTCTTATGTCAGTTGTTCCATCTCATCAATGATAGCATAAGTATGTATAATGCCAACTATAAATGCCACGGGTAATAATCTCAAAAGTAATTAAGCGTTTCAGAAGCGTTATGCCTTCCAATGGTGTTAAGTGCATTCTCACATTCACACTGGTTGCATCTTGGTGTAAATATGTATGTATTATATTCATTTGCCGGTGTCTCAATTGACAGATTTCTTGGATTGGATCAAGTTCGTTGGCTTATCTTTCTGATTTCCTTATGCCACTATCCCTTTACTATTACAGTTTTGTGCATCGCATTCAGATATTATTATCAGTAAGAATTATTGTGATGTTTGAAACGAATTATTTTGTGCCATGATTCGTTTCGGTACATTTTTCATGCTCCTGATGCAGACAATTTTCTATTTCAATGGTCAATTTTTAGTTGCTGTTAGAATTTTCTTCATCAGTTATGCTGGTGATATACAAAATGAGAATATTATTTGTTCGTGACTTAATTTCAGTTCATGGCATTCTATCTGACCGCATCGTCTGTTTCATCGTTAACAAGTTTAGCGCATAAATGTGTCGTCGGATCTCCAGTTCGTGCTCTTGGCGCGGTATATTCAAAATTCTTTTTTTTGCACTTACAACTTCGGTCAATTCATTTTTCAAATGAGCATCAAGAAATAAGATGGCTAAGCAAC